CATGATGAACAGCTCTTATGTTTTATGTTCCGTATTTGATATAGTTCAAAAACAAAAAATACCATCTCACGTAACCTAGCACATCCACCTCACACCGTTTCTACCGCCGCCGCCATCTATCTTCTCCTGTTCGGTAGGGTACTGCTCAGACATTCGCTTTGTGTTGATCAAAAAACACATGGAAAACTACCGGTCAGACAAGCGGGCCGCTAGAATTCCCTTCCAGACAGCAGTGGCTAAATTCGACCGTGACAAGCTAGTGACTAAAGCCCTGCTACCGTCGGGACTCGACCCTCGCACCTCCCGGTTAGAGGCACTGCAGTGACTTGAGGTGATGCTCTGAGACACCGTTGCCGGCCTTCCCAGCGGCAGGGTCGCCGGCGCGCTTCGTCCTGCCGAAGAGGGCGGAGGGAGGGGCGCGGCGTCCAGCGCGCCGCACTTGTTGCTGCGGGGCGACGCCGCGACGCCGGCCACGCCGCGGCGCTGCCCGACCCGACGCTCGCTTTACGAGGAGGCGCCCGAAGACGGCGCTCCGCGAGGGCGAGGACAAATCGATCGCCCGCCACCGCCTCCGCCAGCGCCCTCGCTTCTCACTCAGGCCAGCGAGGACGCTCATCCAGAGCGGGTTTTTGATGCCGAGCCATGGTGGCTGACGAGGTTGGCGGACATTGAAAACTTTAACTTGTTATTGCAGATAAGCGTATTTTTATTTTTTCATTTTTCGTCCCATTTTGAGCTATTGCTTAAGTCATTCTGAATGGTAATAAAATGAATGTTAAAAAATTCCTAAACGAAATAAAATTATTTTATGTATACTGTTTATGAAATTATCATTGTTGCAAATAAATGAACATTTTGGTAATAGGAAAATGAGGATGTTTTAAAAGTGTAAACTTCTTTATACTAGCAAAAATGAAATTGCGACGGCGAAGATAGTAACTTTTGAAATTTAAATTTTTTCCCGAAATTGAGAATACGAATGGTCCATTTGCAGGCATAGTTGTACGTGTATAACCCAAAATCTACGAAAGAAAAACTCCGAATTATGTGCTAAGGTACTTACGTTACAAATTAGACGGAAAGTGAATTTTGAAAAGAGCGAAAACAGGAGACGAGTAACATGTAAACGTCAAACTAAAGACGAGTAGAAAATAAAATAAAATTAAATTAAATTAAATTCGAAAGACTCCCGAAAAGAAAATCTTGGATGTACATTTCTGCGTACGAAGTAATTTGGACCTTTGTTTGCCATGTGTTCGCGTGTATTACGATCTCACTCTCAGCCGTTGTTCCGCCCATCGGGAGCTGATGTGACAGCCCAGCGGTGGCCAGGCCTCGTGGCGGGGCAGCGCATTTCCGCCCGTGGAAATGAACTCCGCCCCGCGCGCGACCGGACTACTGCCGCGCGGCGCACAGTGGCCCGCGGACGAGGAAAACGCGCGCCCGAAACGGTACACCAGTTTTCTTCTCTTTTCTTTCTTTGCTGTTTTCTTCTTTTTTCTTTTTCTTTCTTTTCTTTTTCTTTCTTTTCTTATTCATTTCTTTTTTCTTTTTCATTTTTCTTCTTTTTCCTTTTTTTCTTTTTTTTTTCATTTTTTGATTGATTAATTAGTGATTCCGGGCGTGAAAACTGCTAAGGTGATTAGTGCCCTAAATACTTTGCATGCATCTTATTGCGGGAGAGGGCGTCGACCTTTCCCTGCTACCGGCGCTGTTCGGAATTTGCATATAGCAGAGATAAGTACATCAGTCCATGTGGCATTTGGCCCTTATTTTTAGAGATCTCCTAATGCGCAGATTATTGACAGGTCACTGTCTGAAGCGAAAGAACGTCAATCATATTTCCTGTACCTGCTGAGCATCTGGACGTACGAAGTTGCCTAAAAGATCACGGGCAAATGAGGCATTTTATAAATGCGTATAAGTACATTATTTGGAAGTTCCAGACGGTTCATTCTCTCCGAGCTTGTTTATGCTATTTTGGTAAAATCTGGTAGTTGACTTTGTTTCCTAGTACTAGTTGGGTTTTGGAAATTTGTAAAGAAGGTTCGATTAAACTGTGGTGCTTTTAAGACTCGGCCTACGGATTTCGATGCATTTTAGTATTTTGTCTATGTGGTGAATATCATGTTGAATTAATTATACACGCTTACCGGAAACAAGTTTTGCCTTACATAGACACAGTAAATATGTTTTCACCGCCCAACATTGTATCATTAAGAATCATGGTGTGTGTTGGTGTGGTGAATATGCACGTATGGTTCTCACATCCCGTGAGGTGACTATCGTAAAGAATATGTAGCTGTTTAATTTTTTTGTGTGTGTACTCTGCTAACGGTTGCAAGGTATGGTAGTCATGTATAAATTCCTTTGTATATTATTTTTTCAACTGTATCACGACAGTTATTAGTACCCGACACGTTGTTTTTTGTGGCTTATATAATTTATTATTTCTTTCTCACCTTTCTTTGTTATTTAAGGTCGCATCAACATCTAAGTCAAGCGACCATTATTGGATTTAACGTTATGGTAACTATGAAGATGTCATGATATGATGATGATAGGAGGTGAAAGGACAAACAGAGATACAACGACGCCCGTGGCGGGACTCAAACCTATCTTTTAGTTCGACATTTTCTCATCTTGTACAACCCTAAAGGTGGAAATATACGTTCCAAAACGTTGAGAAACAACCATGTGTTAATGTTGTTTTTGCTTCTTCTGACAAAGTTTCGTAAACCTGACCGTTTTTAACTGTATCAAGACAGAGTTATTAGTACCCGACACGTTTTTCTGTGACTTTCTATTATTTTCTTGTTTTTCTCCTCTTATACCTCTTGTACAGGATGGAACTACATGTTCCCTAACGTTGGCAAAACACCATGTGTTAATTTTTTTTTTGTACTGCTGACAGAGTCCCGTAAACTTGACTTTAGCATTTCAGTATTCGTAATTTGTTTTCTACGTTTTCGCCTTGTCGCCGAATGTTCCGCCCACTGTGCGGCGCCGCGTGGTCGCTATTGCGTGTGGGGCGGCGGCCTCCCTGGCGCGTGCTCGGCCGCCCCGCCCCGCCCCGCCCCGCCCCGCCACGGCGTGTGCGCGCGCTCTGATGAGCGCGCGTCGGGCGATTGTCGCGCGCGGGCGACTCAGCGCTAATCTGGAACAATGGGCACGGGGCTGTGGAGGAAGTGTTTGGGGCGCCTCGTTCAAAGCGCGAGTGTCCGTTTGAAATACTTTTGATGCAGGCTGTGGAATAGGGGTGTCCAACGGGGTCGCAATCGGCTTCCCGAAGTTGGTTAAATTTTTCAAGTGGAAAAATAATACAAATTTAAATTTGAAATTTAAATGACCATCAAGGAGTCGGGTCGGGTCAACGATCAGGGGCTCGATTCCCGAAAATGAGCTGGTGACTGATAGGTACAGCAGAGGCTTAAGAAAGCATGACAAAAAAATAAAATAAAGAAGTTCATATTTAATTGTTTATAACTAAAAATATATCGATGAAGCATACCAATATTTGAAGAGGTGGTACAACAAAAAGATCGAGAATTTCTAGACTTTGTTAAAGTGAATGAAGGCGTAAATTCAAAAGAATTGGAAACTACGCTAGTTTCTTACAACTTGGTAAATATCTTTTATGAATCCTCGAATTTAATTTAGCTTTAGGAAATGTTTATTCTAAGCATTTAAATGCTTCTGAAATGTGTTTTTCAAAGGAAATAAAAAATTGGGACTAATGAGAAAGAGCAATGATATTTTGATTGCTACTTCATCTTCAAACGTTGTTTTGCTTGATTGCGTACAAATTAAGTTTATTTCTTCAAAGTATGATATTTTGGAAGGTTGTGACTAATCAAGTTTCTCTGCCATTGAATGAACTTTTTCTTATTGTCTAGATCAAATGGTTAAATTCACGATGTTAACGAACTTAGATCCTGTAGACAAAGCCGGGCACCGCTGTTGCAAAACCTGTTGTAGGTTTAAAACGTATCAGTATAGTTTAAAGAATTGTTGTTTATTTTTCGAATATTATATGTAACATTTCTATTGGATCATGTATTTAAAACACTTATTTCTAGAGTCATCAGGTTCTTTAATTGCTTCTTCAAAAACTGAAAATTTTCGTTTTGATTCTTAACTTTTATTAATACCTGTAATACCTGTATTTGTAGGGCTCTGGTTCGTTGAAAGTCCATATCAACCATTCACTCAATATGATTCGAAAGACAAAGTGTTTAATACACGAGTTAGTTTCATTATTTGTTGAATATGTAAGCTGTTGCGATCGTCTCGGTTTTTGTGTTGGTAAAGTTTGGCTCCAGTTTATTAGCAGTAAATAAAACCTAAATTAGAAGGAATATTTTAATCAAATGAATACTATGAGCAAACCAATGATAAAGCACGTATGTCTTGTCAAAACATGAAATACAAAGCATTTTCTAGACTTTGTATGGTAAATAATTTGGCCTTCAGATAGAGAGCCGATATTGAAAGTTAGAGTAATATTACGATAATTTTCTTCTGTTGCTGTGTAGAGTAAAATATGCATGTTTTTAATTTTATTTGCGGCAAAACAAAATCATCAGTTAACTTGATATTCGTTTTGAAACATTTTATGTCTTTTCTTGCCATTTAAGACTACTTAAAATTATATTTAGCAGTAATTATATCACGAAGATCTGTTGCGAGCTATTAAACGTCTCTTACAAATGATGCGAACTGAACAGCTCATTAAGTTAATAAGGATCCACAAAAATATCGCAAATGGATTATTTTTATACTTTAATAATTTAATTTTCTTTATAATAATAAGCATTTTAATGCCATACTTACTAATATTATTCTAGAACTGTAATAAGCTGGTAACATAAAAGTCACTGACATTGTTTCCTGTCTCGCTGATTCTGAAATATAAATCTCCGGTTTTCAGAGCCATCACCTGAGAAGTTTACTGGGCATTTCCGCTTTCAACCGATCCTGCCTCATCTGCTTCTCTTCAGCTGTCGAGAAATGGAAGGTAAGCAGCTGTTTGACTTTCCTTCGCCAAACGTTTCTGTTCCGTCGAGGTCGAACTAGTCCTCCCGTTCGCTGTTCCGGGAGGAAATTGTGTTGAAACTGAAAGTGAGGAGGGAACAGTGATGCGGCATCGATAACGAAGCACGGATGTTTCGAAACATCGATATTATACTTTGTTATTGATGTGCAACGATTTTAAACGTGTGTTATCGATATCGCATCGACAACATACGTATGTTATCGATGTCACGTATAGAAACGTATATGTATATGAACGTGCACGTGAGTAAACGTACACATGTATAAACGTATAAAATCGATTTATTAATACATCGACCAAAAACCACAGATGTTTTTGAACTTAGATGTTTTACAGCTCGCTTAGTATAGTCTAGCATAATAGTGCGTGTGCAAAACAATTTAATTTGACAGTGGACATGCATATTCATTTATTATTAACAATTAACTGAAAAAGTTAAAAAAACGCCTCTCTATGAGCGAAATACGAGGAAAGACAAAGGAAATATCAAGCCATCAGAATCCTCTTAGGGGGAAGATAGGCTGCTTGATAAGGGCAGTACAAACGGCGTTCGTTTAGCAACCTGACAGTGACAACACAAACTGACAGTGATACCATCAATTACTACTTTATATATTTAATTTTTTAGAAAATGATTTTTATGGTAATTTTCATCCTCAAAATAACGGAAACATAAAACATTGAACACAAAACATAATAAAAACCATCGGCTTCTGTGAATTCATGGTTAAAAATATCAAAGATTTTATTGAAACATTGACGTTTTCCGAAAGCAGCGAAATTGATGCCGCGTGCCTGTTAGAGGAGCGCTCTGCAGCGTGCTAGAATGCAACAACTGTTGTGGTCCGCGTCAGGCGTTAAGGACCTGAGCTCCCTGGACCAAGAAAGGCAAAAGCCCCACGGCAGTTCCCACGGTTGGCGCGACGTGTGACGGTGTGTTCGGAAACTGATCCGAAGTTGAAAGCCTGGCATCTCTCCAATGTCTTTGACAACACTCAGTTACGCAAATGTTTCTACTCACGACTTTAATACGTTTGCGGTAGCTAGGAAAACGGGTTAAAACTCTATATGTCCACTTTACATAGAAACGATGTAATTTAATATGTTTTGCAAGACCAGAGATAAGTTTCAATGTTCGTGTTAATCAATTCGCGGAGTAAGGGTACGCGAAGAGGGGGCAGATCGTACGCCCACAGCGCATTTGTTGCCCCCATCTCAATGTGGTGGTCATCTCGGGCGAGAGAGTTTGGTCGATGCAGCGTTCCTTTGGTTCCAACAGATGAACTACGGAGTTACCATCAAATATTATTTCATACTTTAAGTTTTGTATTATTGTGATCATGGGAATTTTCATTTTTAGAAACTAAACATCGATATTAAGAAACATAGATATTTCTACAAAAAAAGTCTTAAAAACATAGACATCGATGATTTGTGATCGATGTTTTTTCGATGTCGCATCCCTAGTTAAAACCATCGTCAATTCAGGATATCCTTGGCGAAACCCAGCTTGTTCCTTGAAGTGTGTGCTTTCTGAGATAATTCAGAGCCTACTATACATTTTATAAGCAGCACTTAACAGACTCATAGCTCTATAAGTTTCTGTTGTGAGATGGGTGGGAATTCAAATTGCCAAAGGAATGCCAATTCCTTTGAAAGAATGTTTTGGATCCATCCTACACGTTTACAAGCATGCTTCTCTGTAGAACTAGTACTCCAAGAGGACGCAGAGAAACGTCTCTGTAGAATTCTAACAGGCTACAGAGAAGCACCCAAAATGAAGGGGGAGTTTCGGACCGAGGCACGCACACATACACGCACTGTTAGCTGCGGGATCTTCAGCCATTAGAATCGGTGGTATATAACTAATTTTGTGGCAATTTTTATGAATCGCTTTCTGCCTGAGTGTCGTTGATATCCCTCAGCGGACAGGCTCATGATCCTTACAAATTGCTCTTAATAGAGGAACAAACCGACGCAATTCTCGCATCGCTCCCTGCGGAATAAAATTCACATCTCTCATCAGCTTAGTGGCGGCGCCTCTGAGCTTCGGGAATGCAGAGTTAAAGCCCAAACAGTCCAGGCAATTGATTATTCTGAGCATTTCAAGGTGCGGGTACTATAGAATTGGTTTTGATAAAAGAATGGTATAAGTGTGGTTAAACACAATTGCATTTTGTGACCGATCCAACTGCTTTATTTGAAAGAAGTATTCGCTGCAGATACAACTATTAGTGGGTAATCTCCTTTTAATTCTGTCCTCAAATGATATGAAAAGGGAAACAAGAGAAAAATATAAAAAGCATAAATCTTAATCATAATTTAAATTACACATCGTAATTTGCGTGTTTATCCCAGAGAACCATTTTAGTAAAGGTATTCATTTAGCAATAAGCAGCTGTTTTTTAAGTAAATAAAATAATATATTCACTTCTCCCGAATATCAAGGCAAGTTTTAAGTTTTGAGGTACACCTGTGTTACATATGTAGTAAATTAAATTCAACACATAATTGCATGATCCCGTTAAAACCAATATCAAAATAAAACTTTAATGTTTAATAATATATTATAGAAACGTAATGCTATTTCACTGCATTAAATGTTTTGAGGTTCATTTACGCGATAATTTTTTTTCAAGTTATACAGTCATTGGATAAAATATTTTTTCCTTGAGAATGAAATGTGATATAGCGACAATTGGACTCTTTTCACACTTTGATTCCGCTTTTTTCTATGTGTGAATAGCTACTGAATATTATTTCCTTATATTTAGTTTTGATAAAATAAAGTCTTACAATATATATCCGATCGTCAAAAATTCTCGTAAAAACTATTTGTAATAAAACTCCAAAACTTTTCATCCATATCATTAGAACTATACAATAATTAACAGCACAATACAATCAATAACGATAAGTTATCTTTACGTTTTTTCCTCTTCCAAATTTTCAAGTGATATTATTTTACGACATTTGGTACTTAAACTGCTTTTCCCTACCAGACACGCACATGCCCTAACGTAAATCCGTCATCGTTTCGGATAACTGAGCAGTTTCATTACATCGAGGCACGCCGTGCGTTGTCATACTACGCCGCCCCGTCACGCTCTGCGTAAAACGCTACTATTAACTTTCAAAATCTTTTCCCGTCGGGAGCCATTTGAGGTGTGAGTTACGAGCAATACGTTAACGGGCCCTACCTTTGATTTTTTTAAAGTTTCAGCCTCCCTTCTTTTTTTCCAAGAGAGTGGGCCGAGCCTGTCCCTTTAATGATTGTTCATCACTTAACGGAACTTTTACTGAAGAATTATCAGAATAATTTATCAAAATAAATGTTAAGAGTTACTCTCTGCTAATGCACGCGGAAACACAGGAATACTTTCGTATTTCGTTCTTGCACGCTATTTCAATAGCACACGCGACTCTAACGCCCAGCAGTTTTGTGTTTTGTGGGAAGGCGTTTTTACTATCAACATTAGTGCGATTGCGCAATGTTCCTATAAATTACAAGGATTTTGAGAGAAATTATTGACAGACTTTTGCCACAGATCGCCAATTTTGAGTTCTGTAAACTAGTTAATAAATATTAAAACTTTCTCAAACCAATAAACCTTGATGGGGTATGTGCAATGCAGAGTTACTGCGCGCTTTTAGTTATTGCAGAGTATTGCTATACTGCTGGCACGAAAACCTGTTCAAGGCGTGAACTGTTGAGGGATGCTACTAAAAAGCAAAATTCTGTAAATCTCGAAATGTTCTTATTTCAGCCTTATTGTTGTAAAGGTTTCTTAAGGATTTTGTTTTTTATGATATAAAAGTTTATAAAACTGTTCCATTGGGCCATGTCTTCTTCTAAACGGCTAAAATAAATAGTATAACAAATTCCATTATTTTTCGTGGAATCTTCGTAACACTTAAGTAACATACTATTTGTATTTCGTTTCCGATTTTTCTATCTTTAAACGCACAAATAATTTAAAAATATTGATAATAATATTGTTTAAATTTATTGAAGACCACACTAACTTAGTCATTGATAACCAATGTAAAATCAAACAATTACATTTCAAAAAGTTACAAAAACTGTTCAATATGAAATATTAAATAGTCAAGCACAAATGCAAACATGGAAAAAAGTTATTATCGACTACAACCTACAATCATATTAACTAATATTCATTCCTACTCTTACAATTACTCCATCATACTATCATTGAGAAATAGTAAAATATTTTCAAATACATGTTATCAGTTTTTTTAAAACAGGAAAATGAACTTTTTGTTGACTAAGTCCGTAAATAAAGTGTGTGCCAACCTCTCCAAAATATGAATCTCTTTGATACTCAGTTGTGAAATGGCTGATAGTTAGGGAAATTTGACATAAATCACAAAAAGACCCGAAGATGAGTCCATAAAATAGTGATAAATGAGGCAACGGTAATTATTTTACTTCCCACATTTTTTCACTCTGTATATGATGCGTTTTTCAACTTTCTTACCTCAAATGCAAATTATACTGTTATTTTTATAGTCTCCACTATACTGAGCAGTAATGACGGGCTAACAGCTTTTATTCACAAATTCATTTTAAGAAACCCTTTGGAAAGGATTTGACACTGAACTAATGAGTATGTGTGTTTATTGTGAATAGTTAGATCTATTAGTTATAACTATAGTTTTGATAAGTGGGTAATAGTTTGTTTAAGGCAGCGCGAAAGGAGTATTCGGGGAAGAAGTTGAGTAGGTGATACAGAGTTTGAAAAGGCCAAGTGGAAAATTGGTGACGAAGGATAAAAAATTATGCATTAGGTTTATATATAATACGAAATTTATATGATTTCCTATGAAGATGGGAGTTGTAGACATACCATGGAACATGTACTGCTAGTCTAACATGGCTTTTCAAAATTTATAGTTTTGAAAATTATGTTTGTGATGCTCCGTTCTAGATTGGGAAGCAC